GCGGGGATCAGAAGACCGCGAAGACGTGCGAACATCACCCCAGAGTCCGCGCAACACAACTTCTCAAACAGCAGTTCTTGAAACAAAGCAGCTACGATGGATGATTACTCACGGGCACAAACTTAAGGCACCTGCGTGACATACACAGGTATGTGCTCTTACATGCATCGTCTACCTTGCACCCGATGTGGACCGTCGTGTCGGAGGAAAGCCATGACACGGCTGTGGGGCGACCCCGTGTCGCGAACATGAACTCGCACCCCCGAACCCACACGGATACATGTAAGAGCCAGCCCCGAGAATCCTCCATGTATCTTCTAGGTTTCACCCCGTCCCTAGCGCTCTCGAACTGCTAGCATTCGTAATTTCAAAAAGGGATGGCACCATGTGTTCAATCCCACCAAGCCACGCGACTGAAGTTCCCAAGCGGCAGGGTATCTAAACAGTTGGAAGCGCTACGTTAAAGCATCCACGACAACGAAGCTCAATCAAACGTGAAGTTCCTGAGCTCGATGCAAGAAGTGTGGAGCCAGGGAACGCTTCAAGCCAGGGAAGGAGGCAAACCGAGGAGGACGAGAAAAAGGAGGAGTATAATGAGCGCGCAGGCCAACCTGCACCAGGTTGGAACCTTAGCGTAGGAGGAGGGGGGAGACGAGAAAAAAAACGAAAAAAGTGGTGTTATGCGTCATGTGTGCACTTGTGCCTCCTTCTGTCGTTCTTTCGTTGTCGGCGTCCGCAGGCGAACCCCACCCTGTGAGAGGGATGAGCGAGCAAGACAGCCAGTCAGCATATACCCACCCCCTGTGGAATGGCGCCTGCACAGGGCACTTGGCCGCAGGACGCGTCACAGAGACGCATGCGCCTTGAGGGTCACGCACAGAGAGGCGAGAGAAGGGGACAACTGCAGGTGTCCCCACCGGCCTGGCCTGAGAGATCTTCCACACAACCCAGACATGCGGCGTCCGGATGTTTCCAAGACGCGGCCCCCGGAGGTCCCCATCCATTCCCCGGGGACCGACTTCTCCTCCCGGGTCGTTCTCTGGCGGCCCCTGGGCCCGGCGAGGGCCTGCAAAGGCCGAAAGCGACGAACGACCTCCGTCCCGATCCTGTACTGACGGCGGCCTGCGACGCGTCTCCTCCTCCGCCTCCTCTTCCTCCTCCTCCTCCTCCTCCTCCTCCTCCTC